GAGTACCGTAAGTCTCATAAAAACAAAAGCTGTCAATTCAAATTTCTTGCATGACGCTTTTAATGTAAAAAAGCAATCCCGCACCCGTTATCCTTCAAAATATACCGCAACAAATTAGTCATTCATTATTGTCTTCGTTAATCTAGAAAAGACATCAATAAAGAGCAGAACCGTTAGCTGATTTAAACAAACAATCAAAGCCAACAAAAATTACACGGCTGCTACAAAACATTTAAAGCTTCAAGTTCAGGCTCTACCACGAAACCCTGTTAAACAGTAAACCCCGTTACAAACACTATAACATGCAGCGTGGCTAAGACGCAAGAAGAAAACAAACACACTTCCTGGTTCCGACAATCAGCATCAATCCGCTAAGAATGAATCATAACCGACTGTAAACGAACAATTTTAAATATACACAACACCAATAGCAAATACTACTCTACAAACACAGAATAAAAGTCTCGCTAAAACAAAATAGCAAGAAATGACTTAGTATTACTTAAACTTGGCGCACGGGTTAAAACGATAGCTCTTCTTCACTTCCTGGTTGTCAAGCGCTTTGCATCCTTCACTTCAGCGGGAGCCCAGCGCTCATTACCTCAAATCACGTGACACGCTTCTGTGATGAGTGAGGTTTGTTTTATTATTGTTTACTAGCTTTGCTGAGTAAATCGAACTGGTGTTTAGATACATTTAAACTGAGTAGTCATCCCAGCTGCTTGCTGTTTATAAACGATCAATAATCTCCTCGCCAATATTATACCAATATTTCTCTGCCTTTGGTTACAATGAAGACAATGCAACTATACATAAGCCTCTTTTCTGCGTTTTAAAAAGGTACATGAGCAGTCAATGTTGTATTTTGCATCTCTGAGCACAGAGAACAAACAAAAGTATTACAAAACCATTGGTTTCATCCAGATTAAAGTTTGTATGACCTCTTTACCCTTTTTCCAAGTGTTTCAAGTGTACTAATCCTACAAATTATAAGATTTGTTTTTGTTTTTCTAATTTGTATCTTTTATTACTTCCACAAAAACGCCACAAGATGTCCCTCTTTAGCTGTTCCTGCTGTTAAAAGGGGTCCTATTATGCTTTTTCACTTTTTCAACTTTAGTTAGTCTGTAATGTTGCTGTTTGAGCATAAAAAAGATCTGCAAAGTTACAAAGCTCAAAGTCCACTTCAAAAGGAGATATTTTATTTAACAGAAATCACTTCAGAAACTACAACGAACGACTCGTTTGGACCACAACGCATATTTTCCGGGATTTGTAAAACTATTCGAGCCGTTCATGCCAGACTGGGGAGGTGGGTGTTGTAATAATGTAAAATATGTTAAAAATAATGTGTTTTTCGAACAACCTAGTATGAGAGCCTGTTCTAGTACACCCCCAAAACAAAATCAAGACTTTGTAAAAGAGCGTAATAGGACCCCTTTAAAAGAAAAAAAAAAATAGGGCATATTTGGAAATCATGTTTGGTGGTAAACATGTCAAAGTCAATGCAATCAAGCTTTTCAAAATTAGGTTTATTGTTTAGTCACACACACACACACACACACACACACACACACACAAAGTAAGTGCCATAAGTTGACCACACTGATTGCTCTTTCAAGCAAATGCATAATACAACATTTTCTTTGCATGGAAATACAGCCCCGACAATTGTGAGAATTATTGCTTACCTGCTTCCATCTCCTGCAACTCAGTCTCCACAACTTGTTCCTCAGCCACATCCTGCACCAGGTAGGTATTCTGATCATCATAGACTAACACCTGAGCAGCATAACACTGCTCCACATCAGCGCTATTCACCTGCTCCACTATCACTGCAGGGCAGTCCTTCTCTCCATCAGACTCCACTCCATCAGGACAAACCTCCTGGCAAAAAAAACAAACAAACAAAGATTTTGAGTTTCCTTAAAATGTAGATTTTAGTTCAGTTGCAATTCTAATATGAGAATTCATAAAACTTCACCTGCTGAGCTTCCTCATCTCCAGCGACATACTCCAATATATTCCCTCCACCATCTACAATCACCACAGAGGTCATGACTCATTCCTCTGTGTCAGAACTGCACTTATCCACTTCACCCCTGCTGATGACCTTGAGTGATGTCACAGCCTGAGAAAAAAAAAAGCCATTGGTAAAAACAGTGTGGAACACATAGTGCTTATCTCTGAAAATATTCGTAACTTACAACAATACCCCTCAACACACTGTTCAGATAAACCATTATAAGTTAATTATAATATTTTAGAATTACAATAAACAAATCTCCCAAAGGCATGTGAACTAAATCATGTGACTAATTAGGCCAAGTGGGTACTGATATCATCTGATGCCTTTTCAGTTGGCATGGAAATAATCGAATATTCTTACAAAGATCACAAGCAGTCCTTCAGGCAAAAACAAATGCTTACACACACGCAGAAACAAAACAAGAAAACGGAAGAGGCCTGTATCCTGTTGGCACATGTGATCTCAGCCCAATCATATTCACTGTTTTAGTTTTTTCTCAATAGAAAACCCCCTAAGGGTTGTGCCCATTTCATGCCCCATCTTTGCATATATTTTTCTCTACCGTGTTGCCCTTTATCACAGTTTTCCATCAAGTATAACAAAATGTAAACACTGACACTAGACTGATAGACTAGGAGTCTGTTATTATTGACATTCAAATAGCGCCACCATTCTCCTGCAATAACATTGAATCAACTTATGTTTTTAACAAGGAGTGAACAGATTTTAAGCAACAACCATGCAAAGAAAGCAAATCACAAACAAATGATTAACTTTTACAAAAATTGTATCTGACAGAAATTATTAGATCGATAAACAAACGCCTGCTGTATAAACAGCCGCGCTGAAACAAACCACATACCTTCTAATTATATCTAAATGAATTAACTTTAACCTCTAATGTACGTATACATTGAAAAATAGGATATTTCTCACCGTTTGTGGCGATTTCTTGTCGTTTGGTGCACCTCAAGACAATCTAGTGCACTCTGTCATAAGGTTAGCATGCTAACCATGCTAATGACAGATTGACTGGTTGACGATAAAGCTGGTCAACTTGCGTAAACTGCTCGCTGACAAAAAGCACGCATGCAGGCGATACACAGATGCCTATTTGGTCAATGTAAAATATAAAAAGAAATGAGTTTTGGCAGGCTGCGTTGGTGTAGCAGGTAATGTTTTGCGTAGCTCGTTTCGGGCCTCCCGTTGCAGGATCCGACCAACGAACTGCGCAGCGACCGGAAATGACGTCACACACACCCTTGTCAGGTGCGCGCGTGCCAAAATTTCAGCAAGCTCAATTTAAAAACACAAACAAAAATAATAGGATAGTGATCATGACATAAACTATTTATAATACTATCACAATAAATAATATCATAATAATATGTTTAAATTAGCAAATGTTTCTGAGGGAGGTAGCAGGCAGATATAATATAGACAATGAAGTACAGACATGTTACGCCTTGCTATATTTCAAATATACAGTAATATAATTGAAATGGCAATCTGTACAGTCGTAACCTCAAATTTAAAATCTTTATTACTATGCTGAAGAATTTACCAAAATAGGACCATTTCCAAATCCAATCTTGCAACTTAATAAGTGAAATCTGTACCTAATATTCACATAGAAACACTCTTCAACTTAGTCAAACACAACCACACACAGGGGCGGACTTACCCATTTGTCAAAGGTCGGTGACCGCCTTGGGCCCCCAAAAGCCAAGGGCCCCATAAAATGCTTTTCATACACAAGATGCGCATTAAACGTGCTTCTTGTGTATCCTGCTTGTAGCAAATGAAAATATGCATCTGAAGCTGTAATTAAATGTTGAGCAACAGTGCGTAGGCTATTATATGTTTATTGTTTTAAATGCCGCTTACTCATTTATGAGAAGGACCCAAGTAGAGGACGCATAAGCAGTTACTTTTTTGGTTGATATAATCCTTGTGTTTAAAGGTTTAATTTCCTTTTCATTACTTTTTTTCTTCAGTTTCATTTTCAATAGTCCAGTCTGCAGTTTTTGTTCAGACCAATCCACCACATAACCCCATTTTAAATTAATATAATTTATACTTCTGACTCTTTTTCTTAAAAAAATGGTTTAAAGACTCAACTGTGAGGTTTATCTCAACTGTAAATCAATTGCTATTTCATTAAAGAAAGCCATCATAACATGTGCATGAAAAATGTAGAAACACTGGATACAACTATGGGGCACCATTGTGCACCAGCAAGCATCACAACAAAAAAGGAACCTCAGGTTTATCTAAGTAAATGTGTGCAAATGTATAGGGCCCCATTCCTAGATTTTGCCTGGGGCCCCCAATTCACTAAATCTGCCCCTGATCACACAGAAATGTTTTTCAACTCTTTATTTTTCTTTGACATACATTCACAGTTAAAAAACCCCTAGTTAGGGCCTACAGTGAAAGGTGAAACTTCAAAAGAGCAAATGAATGTGTATTACATCCTTAACCCTTAAAACAAAAACAAAAAAGAACCCGTGAACACAGCCTTTATACTGAACTATACTTCAAATTATTCCCTCACATTCACATTATAAAGTTGTTATCTTACGTATAAAACTAATAAGGTCCCTTTTGAAACATGAAGGAAATAAGAGACAAAATTGTTAGGTAGTTGTATGTTGTTGTTTTTTATCTGATCTTAATTTTCCTTCTGGCTCGATATAGTACAGGGGTGTCCAAACTTTTCCTAAAGAGGGCCGGATTCGACGATGTGGAAACACTGGGGGGCCGGATGCTTCTACCTATATATATATATATATATATAATGTATGTGTGATGTTGAGTTGACAGTAGCTTGTGTTTTGTTGAGGACAAAAATCTGCAAATATCTTGTTTTTAATCGCGTGCGCTAAAGAAATGAGAGCGCATATGAGTTATCAAATTGATATCACTCGCGTTTTACTGCTACATCTGGTCTAAAATGTAGTGCTGCCATCTTGTGTTGACATTTTGAAACTGCATAGGCCTATTTTGTAAATTATGCTTGGCGGGCCATACATAACATAGACTATTAAGACAGCTGCGGGCCGCTTAACATTCATCCACGGGCCGCATTTGGCCCGCGGGCCGTAGTTTGGACACCCCTGATATAGTATGTCTGTTTACCAGTCTAAAATCTCAAATCAAATGAGCATCAAAACTGTAGTATCAAAGAAAGTGTAACTTTGTCATAATAGGTTTGGGGACCTTGTTTTTGCCACATCAAGCAAAGTAATTTATTTACGCACCTGCCAAACAACATTTTTTATAATCACAGGAAACTTCACTGGTTTGATGATGGTGACCAACAGAACAAATTAAGAGAGAACAGGAAAACAAAGGCAAAGGATGCAGCAGTAGGGTTTGCCTTTTGGATAATATTGTTATGTCAGCCTTTAAAAATTAATACTGGAATGTGACTTGTAACATGGCTTTTTGTTGTATTGATTATATTGATACAGATAATCTGTTTGTCAGTTGCTTTTTGACCAAGTCATGTCACATTGGTAATGTTAGTTGGTTATTATAATACTGGTTACTGGAAAAAAGAGAACACTGTCTTTTCAAGCTGAGGTAGAGAGGTACACATAAAAAATAGTGTTAATTCATAAATAATGCAAATGAAAAATAGCATATATTGAAGATAGAGGATAACCTGATGTCCAACCAAAAAACTGGGGGTCAGCATGCAGATATGACAGTGTTTGTAGCAAATGTTTAGCCCTGCTGGTATTGTAACTATTGACATGGCAATTCCAAGACATGTCCTACTAATGTGATGTCTGAGGTAGGGTTCACTATAGTATAGGCTCCAATGTGCAGTTGACTCAAAAAGAGTGGAGTTCCATTTAAAAATGGTATAAAGAGAGGTCACAGCTTTTCATGCATATTATAATGGTCAAGAAACTTGTATGTCTCACATCAGAGTGAAGTGAAAGTTCACATGAAGTACCCACTCTCCAGTGGACAGCATGTTCGTGGAAAGAGAGCTGTATTTTTAGCGGAGTCAGAAGGAAACAGCATTCTGGGCCCAGTGTAAGGATTACTGAAATCCAGGGGGTCAAGGAAATAGGGAAAGGGCAAGGCACATCACTAATTCTTTATCAGGGAACCAGTTTACTATCTGAGAAAAAGACAAAACAAGAATGAAAATCTCATGTCAATGTACAGTACCTTTCAAAGGTTTGGGGTCAGTAGGAGTTCTTAATGTTTTTGAAAGAAGTCTTTTCTGCTCATAAAGGCTGCATTTATTTGATTTGAGAATACAGTAAAAATTAATATTGTGAAATATTAATATTGTAAAATATTATATAATATATTTTAAAATCCAAGTATTATACAATAGACTATAATAGAAAGGTTTACATTTCCAAACATTAAATTTGATAAAAAAATATCAAATTACAATTATAAAATATATTATGTACGATATTATTAAAAATAAACAAAACAAGCATAAAAAACGTGATTTTCACAATGTTACCTTTTTTAGTTGGTGCTAATACATCTGCACTTTAAGCATACGGCGCTTGCCCTATGAACAACATTAAAAAGTAACATTTAGTTCATAAAAAGGATGTTACAAGGTATATCAAGAACTTACATCAGAATACATACGTCTTTGTCTTAATATATCTTTCCATCCTCTCACTAATTCACTATTCAACTCATTTCAAGTATTTGTCAAGTAATGTTTCTGTTAAACCACATTTTTTGCTCCCATCATTATTTACTTAACTAGTTAACCCAGCACTGCATTGTTAAACCAGATTACCTGTTACCTGTCCCGATGGCTCTTCACCATCATCAGGGGCAGAGATGATCTTGCCAGTCATGGGGGACACACCGAGCACCATGGGCTTCTTTTCTGTTTTGGGAGCTCCCTCCAAGATAACCACTATGTAGTCTTGTTTGGGCTCTTCCAAAGAATCAGGCGCACTTGATGTTTCAGCTGGAGCAACTTCCTCAGCTACCACTGTGCTCGCAACATCTGGTTCAACAACACTTTCTGTAACTTCCACAAATGGACCTGCTTCTTCATCGACTATACTTACTGAAGCCTCCACAACTGCACTTTCTGCAATCACCTCTGCTGCCTTCACTTCCACACCTTCCTCAACCACTGGAATAACCTCTTCTGTTACTTTGGCTGCAGGTGTTTCCTCAAGTTCTTCAGTTGCTACAAACGGTGCATCTTCAGCCACAGCAACAGGAGCTTCTTCAGTTACCAAGGAAACTGCTGCCTCTTCTGGCACAGGGGCAACAGGCATCTCTTCAGTCAATGGGGCAACTGATACCTCCTCTGCTTCTGGACCAACAGGTGCCTCTTCTGTTACAGAGGAAACTGGTGTCTCTTCTGTCACTGGGACGACCAATATTTCCTGTTCTATCACCAGGACATCAGATGCTTCTTCTGCCGATACTGGTGAATCAAATGGTGTCTCCTCTGCTACTGGAGCCTCTTCTACCACTGTGGCAACAGGTGGCTCTTCTACAACTGGAGAAACTGGTGCTGTTTCTGTCACTGGAGAAACAAATACTTCTGCTGCTGGTGAAACAACTAGTGTCTCCTCTGCTACTGGAGCCTCTTCTACCACTGTGGCAACAGGTGGCTCTTCTACAACTGGAGAAACTGGTGCTGCTTCTGTCACTGGAGAAACGGATGCCACCTCTGTTACAGGTTCACTTTCCAAACGATCTGTTGTAGGAACCTCAGTGAGCTTCTCTGGTACAGCTTCAACTGGCACATCTTCCACGGATACAGACTCCATAGGAACAGCCTCGATCACGGAGGCAGCAGCCGGCTCTGCCGTTTCTGCTTCTGCTGGGCTGACTGATTCTGCAAGACACAATCAAGCCACCCAATAATCACACACACACACAATATTGAGAGGTATCAAATGACTTATTTAGAGGTTTTATGTGTGTGTTTGTGTGTGTGTGACTGTAGTTTAAATCAGAAGATTAATCTAGACACAGATACAATGGGAAAGAGAGAAATGCGACTACCAAAAGTAGAGCACAGAGGTTCATCCCCACTATATTAGTGATAGTTATAACAACAAAGAAACAAGCTTAAGCAGCTGAAGTAAAGTTTAATGCCTTCAGGTATGATCTATGATGTGTATCTTTGCATTTCACAGAATGTAAGAGATTTTAAGCGAGTATAATCATGCATGTTCACAGCATGCAGCTCCATTTAGGGGTTTCTCATCATTCAGAAAATACACAAAGAGGCTTTACTGCCAAATATCACCTAGAAAGGGACACACCACAATAATAACTACCACAAAAACCTTTACCACAAGAACACAGATTACCTTTACACTAAACTCAGCATTTTGAAACATTACTTTTAAAAACAGAGGATGAACTTGTCGGTGTTTATGATGCAATATTTCAGTTTGTTGTGTTTTCTGAAAAAAATAAAATAAAATTAAACACAGAATATCTTTTTGATATTTATCAATTTCATTTTATTAATTTTATTAAATGGCTTTGAATCCCTTATCCATTTTTAATACATGACTGCATTTTTCAAGTAAATGAGCAATGTCATTAATCACACACACTTGACTTGGTAAGTTATTGAGATCCCTGTCAGTTCAGTCATACAGAGGAGTAGAAAGGGAAAACTAATACAGAAATAAAGCTGGCCCAGTTGCTAGGGAGCAAAATACTCAGTTTTCACAATATTAATAGGCGTGTACCAACTAAGTGATATCTGGCAGAGAAATACGTTTTGACAAATCCAAAATGTAATAACTGAACTACTACTGTTATTATAAAACAACAAATAACTACATACAGCAGTACATTTGCTTTTTGGTGTCTTTGCGTTCACTTGTGCCTCAAATAGGAAGTAAGGCAGAATAGAGGATAAAAATGACAGGAGGCTGGCTCAGATTTGTTAGAAGATTGAGAGTGAGAGTGAAGCTAAGAGTAAGAAATTAGGAGAACAGGAGTAGATGGTCTGAAGTGTGTCCATTGGAATGTTTGGTCACATGTAACAAAAAGCAGCAACTTTGGATTCTCACAGTGGTTTCTACAGTTATCAATATTTGAAAAACGTATAATTTATAACTTTTTCAAGTTATAAATTTATTTATATAATTTTCAAAAATTTCCAGCAAAATCCAGGAATATAGCAAAAATATACACAATAAGCTGTGTGCTATAAAGTGGGATGACATTATTGTTTCGCAAGCATCAAATTCTGTAGTATAACATCGATGCAACCAGAGGAAGTACAGTATGATGAGGACTATACAGTTAATCACATACACTATAATTTAGTTCATGCGTCTCTGAGCACCTTAAAACTTCAGTTTATGACTAAAGAATCTACTTGTAAGGGAGGAAAAATAAGGATAGATAGAGAGACCTGCAGGATTCAAGCAATAAAATCTCTAAATTTTGTTCAGGTGCCAATTTTTGTTCTTCTTAGGATGTAAGGTTAACGTGTTCAGATAAAGTGAGACCGTGACCATTTTGCTAAACAGAACATTTGAGTCTTCTATATCTTGTGTGTATGGGTGAGTGTTTGAGTACCAATGAGCCATTTAGGACTCTGTATCAGTGGCCTCTGCTACGGCCTCATCTTGGGAGGCTGGTGGCGTACCGTTGCTCTCTGACGCCGGCTCTTCAGCTTGGATAACAGGAGTTACGACAGCCTCTGCTGCTGCTTCTACTTCCTCTGCAACCTTCTGCACTTCCTCTGCCACCGCTGCCACCTCCTCTGCTGTCTCAGCAACAACCCCCGCCACCTCAGCAACCACCTCTGCAGTCTCTGCGACCGTCTCGGCAACCTTTTCCACAACGGTCTCAAGAGTTCCTGTCTTCCCTCCAGTGGCCTCGGCTGCTTCCAGCAAGACCTCAGGTGCCTCAGCAGGAACATTCTCCTCGGCTGTGATCTCTACAGTTTCTGCCACCTCACCTTCCTCTGCACCAGCTTCTTCTAAACAGACAATAGAGAAGAAAGAAAAATAAGGCATCACGCTACGTTTTTATTTTTACTCACTTCTGAATCTCACATAAAAATGACTGGGTTGAAATTATATTTTGCCTTAAGAAAATGAAACCCATTTTAGGACAATAAGAATTTTTTAAGCACATTTTTTTGAAAAGCATATTTTGCAATCAAAATCTCAAAAAAAAAAAAAAAAATTATAATAACAGTTTCTGCCACCTCACCTTCCTCTGCACCAGCTTCTTCTAAACAGACAATAGAGAAGAAAGAAAAATAAGGCATCACGCTACGTTTTTATTTTTACTCACTTCTGAATCTCACATAAAAATGACTGGGTTGAAATTATATTTTGCCTTAAGAAAATGAAACCCATTTTAGGACAATAAGAATTTTTTAAGCACATTTTTTTGAAAAGCATATTTTGCAATCAAAATCAAAAAAAAAAAAAAAAAATTATAATAAAAATAACAATCAGTATGCTGCAGTAATTCAAATCATCCTGTCATAAATTAACTTCAAATAATACTACCATGATATGTTTTTACAAATTAGAGAATCAGATAATTTTTCTCATCATTTATTATTATTTATATAATAAAAATAATTATTACTATTTATTACACATTACATTGAAATTCTATTCTGAAAACAGATTTTTCATTTATGAATACAGAGATGTAATATTATAGATCTTGCAAAATATAACTTTCGATTCAGGAGTATAATGATACCTTGACATTTATTGACAGTTTTTGTAAGGTGGTACTATAATCACCAATATCTATAATATTACTTTCCTAATATTCATAAATTAACAATCTTTTGTTTTGAGAACTGTATACTAACTGCAATTAATTACCTAAGGAAATTTAGGTAATGAATTTAATTTATGCTAGTTACCTAAGAACATATTTAAAGCATTTACACTTGCCACCAAGCCTTTCAAAATCTCTCACACACAGCATCCATCTTATCAAACCTCCTGGAAACTCACATAAATGGGTAAACAGGGAATATAAATCTAGCTTTGTCAAAATCACACACAGCCCGATCCCTGCAGTCAGCATGCAAAACCCAAGAATGAGGAGGGAGGGTGAAAAGAGAAACTGAACAGAAAGAACAGGGAGAAAGGGGCTGGGAGGACAGGTGAGGAGAGGGAATACAAAGATGGTTGAGCCTTACCATCTGTTCAAAGTTAGCAGTACCAGCAACTCTGTGAATTCCAGCAAAACAGAATAACAACCAAAGGGGCTTTGTTGTGCATGTTTAATTAGTTAACTCACAGAGGGAAGTATTCTTTTACGTCTTTCAATTTCTACTGTATAACACCACAATCAACATTTTAAATAAGTGTTTGGAAAACAGGGAGAAAGGGGCTGGGAGGACAGGTGAGGAGAGGGAATACAAAGATGGTTGAGCCTTACCATCTGTTCAAAGTTAGCAGTACCAGCAACTCTGTGAATTCCAGCAAAACAGAATAACAACCAAAGGGGCTTTGTTGTGCGTGTTTAATTAGTTAACTCACAGAGGGAAGTATTCTTTTACATGTCTTTCAATTTCTACTTTATAACACCACAATCAACATTTTAAATAAGTGTTTGAAAGTCAATGGAATGAGAAATATCAGTTCGATGGAAAAAGCAGGAATCCTAACGACATTAGCTCAGGAGAGAATCATCCAAAAAGTTCTGACTGAAGACTATAGGTCACCAGCCCCGACTGTCCGAATTTGTTTATTCTGGAAAGAGTCAGAACAAAGAGACAGGAAAGTCAGGAAAGAGATTAGGTGAAGTTTTGAGTTCGTTGTTCAATATTATGATTTCTTAGTTTTTTTTTTGGCATTTGAAAGACCACAGTATAAAAAAAGTGTGTATATATTGTCTGGTAAGACTTTCTGGACTGGACTGCAGTCATTAATAGAGGATCAAAGGCAAGTAAGTAAGTTGGGAAAAAGGGTTGTGAGAGAGAATGGGAGTGCACAGGGGTGCAGACAGGTCTATTCAGGTTTATTTAAGAGGAAAGTGACAAAGTGTCAAAGAGAAAGGCACCCATTTCTGATTAACAGGCTTTCTGACAAATAGGATCAGGGTATCAGGTGTGTTAGAAGGGTAACATGAGAACAACTATTTAATCCAATAATACATTTACATTTATGCATTTGGGAGACGCCTTTATTCAAAGTGATTGCATTCAAGGTATACATTTTTTCAGCTCATACTTTCCCCACGAATTGAACCTTGGCATTGCTAGTGCCACACTCTACAGGAATGCTGTTTCATCAAAATCAAGCTTGTTTAGCTCACTTTTCTGTTTCAGTCTGTGGAAAATCTAGGCTCTTTATAAACAAGCATTTGGCAGTGCAGTTTAACCATTATTCTACCAATATCTGCCCATAATAGTGTCATTACAGGATATTTGTAAAACTTAAGTCATTCCCACTTGGCATATAGCAAATATTAATTAGAACAGGTCATAACCTATGTGCCAAGAATACATTTTTGTCCAGTGTTTTGCAGCTATCAGCCAACAAGGTATCATGATCGACTGAATGGGAGGAGACTGAAAAGTAGGGGGCGTCATCATTTAGTTAACCTTTGACCTTCAGAAACCAAGGCTATAATACAGTTTGAGTTTACACAGAAATAACTCCCAAAAACACTTGTTATGCAGCAGTTCAGATCATGCGAGTTAAAGCACAAGTTAGTTTCAACAAAATTCACTAAATGGATCCTACTGGTTTTAAGACAAACAGATGTGTTACACAGACATTTAAGAGACAGGACTGTAATTTGTCCATTTAAATATCATAGTTATTTATTATGGTACATCATGGAGAGATTATGACATAAAAAGATCACACATGAACTCACCACTGCCATTCTCCTCACCTAAAAAACAACAACAACAACAAAAATATTAAATGATGGCACACTGCAATCTGAAATGTAATTAAGCCCTGAAGCTGCTGTATAAAGCTTTCTGTCAACAGTCACTCCCTCATATCAGACCACATTACAACACATAATATCCCCTTATTTATAATACTTGAACGAGAGAGCTTTTTAATGCTGCTGTCATTTAGATAAGACAGTTTAATAATGTTTGGCTCAGATGCAGGAGTGTTAGAGACGCTTGGATTTGACACCGTCATTTAATGAGCTGGAAGTGGATTTGGCAGGACTGTGATAGTGAACTAAGAGGGCAGCTTTCAGCTGTCTGGCATTACCGTGCTGACCACAAGATAAATGTGAGAGGGTGCCAAATGTCTTCCACATACCCCAACATGTCTTTTGTCGTGGTTGTAATTCTGATGTTTTGGAAGGGCTGCAATGGATTATTTATTGTCATCTGCATTAGATCTCATATTTTTGGATTCAGACTTATTCTAAATTGACAATTTAGATCAGCATTCCTGATGCCACTGAGAATGAAATCTTCAGGGTTACTATCAGTGCCGTGTGAACAGCATTGTTTTAAAAAATATGTCCAATAAGCTGCTGAAGATTATCTGCATATTACCTTATGCCTGTATCTTTCATCTTGAGAAAGTTATGCTACTAGTATAAAATTTTCTACAGCCAGGTAAATGGTTTCTGCTCTTGCACCCTAGTTTTAACAGGCCATAGGAAACTCCTTATCAGAATCCCAGAAGTGATTAAATTACAACACTAAAAGCAGAATTAACCAGCCCATAGGTGAGACTTACCCTTGGGTGGCCATGCTTTGGGTTTCCAGTCAGACTTGGGACGAGCATCAATTTCAGAAACACGATCAACAAAACGTGCGTGGTCTGTTGAAACGGTTCTATAAGCCTATCACAGAATTCAATAAAGACATTAATTAATTCAACAAGTGAGCTGACATCAAACTTTATCATCAATGGTTTGAGTTTTAGTCAGACTTACATATGCCAAGCCACCTGCGAAGGCTCCACCGCAGAGCACGACATAAAGGAAATTCTCACCAGAGCCGCCAGGAACTGACGACATGAGCCTCCGTGGAACTACTGCATTAGTAAAGACAACAGGAGTAAGACAAAGATTTTGGATGTGTGAGGCAACAATGTAAGAAATCCTTTCTCCCTCTCTCAGTTTCAAGATTTAATCAATTTAATAGAACTTAAAATATTATTTGTAGTTAATAGTTAATGTTTTAGTTAAAGTGCCTGACACAGAGATTGACCTTCATGGCAGTCAAACCAGAGCTGCTTTCTGCCCAGTAGGTCACTGCCTGATTGGATTCTGGGCAATGGTTTTAGGTACCTATAAATATGCCTGTCAGCATTCATCTAGATATTTATTGTGTTCTTGCATCTCCACGACTCAGAAATATGGTGAAGATAATCTTAAGTGAACAGCATTTTAAACTATGGTTGTGAAGCCTACTAAGTGGACTCAAAATAAAATTCAGGTTTGAAACCCTCTATATACAAGTGTTACTGCAACAGTTATGGGTTTATATAAATGTATAGACATCACCAGTCAATGATTCCTCAATACATAAAAATAATTATGCATTATTTTCTTACTTAGATAATTGCTTATATCACCAAATATTTCATTTTATATACTATGCTTTATTGACTATCAAAATAGTCTCCTTAGTGCTGACAGTTCCTTGTCCTAAAAAAAGTTAGAGGGCAGGGAGCAACTTAAATTTAGAAAACCATCAGTGCAGTCTAATCAGGATAGGAGGGCAAAGATCATTCTGACACAAACTTTGTAGATTTTTTTAAGGAGTAACTTCAATACTCTCATTAAGATAATCCAGTCACTCGTGCCCAGCTAGAGTAAATAGGTTCTAGACACCTCTGTGTTATTTATATCAGCTAATCTGTTAATCTTTTCCAGGAGTCAAAGGGTGAAGCAAACAGAAAGCGATACATGCTCGGTTAGACTACTAGGAACCAACATAACTTTTTCAATGTCAGATGCTGATGACAATATCTAGTTTAGGTTGGCAATGGCCGATATAATTCCTATATTTACATAATACCATTTAACAACAGCAAATAAGAGATAAATGACGAAAGTAAACTCATATCTCACACAATATTTACAAAATGAAAAAAAAAAAACCCAATATGGTAGTCGTCTTAAGTCTTATACTGGCATCTAGTGGTGTGGATGCAGCATATAAAAAAAGTAATAAATTAATTTAAAAAAATTTAGTTACCAAAAATGCCCTGTTTGCAGTCAGTCACATTTATTTTATTCCACAAGTTAAAGCATCCAATAATATTTTTTTATTTAACAACACTATATTCAAATTTCACCATTTACAGCATCATTTACTCAACCCCATGTCTGTTGAAACCTATGAACTTTTTGAACCAACTAACCAGCAAATCTCCCTCTGCAAAGAGATTAATCACAGCTTGATACTGGAACGGTTGAGTGAAAAAGAATTACAATGAAAGGCTTTAAGCAAGTGGTATCTGACAAGTGTAGGCCTACCGTCCATCCTCTCATGGCTATTTGAGGAGATATTTATTGAACAGGACAGACAGTGTGATTATATCTATGCTTATTTCAACATTTTCATGTAATATCTTATTAACTGCATTACAAACATCCTAACCTAGATTTTCAAATACACTTATCCAATACAATCAAGCACAGCACTGTAAGGGCAGACAAATGTCTCGCTTCAAGAATGTTTGCATGTTTATTCAAACAACCAGGGTTTACCAACAGGGGTACTACCCCTAGGGTACATAAAGGAATTGCGGGGGTTTGTGAGATTGAAATGCCAGTGCTAAATTAAATATAATAAGAAAAGCAAATGTTTAGAAGCCTAAGGTAGAAAAACTCAGAACTACATACACAAAGCCATGAGCGAAAACAGAACTGAATTTTAAAAAAGCATGAGCTAGCGCACAAAACTTCAGCCTAATGAATAACTACTAGTATCTAATAATAACTAGTCACAATTGGAATACATACGAGTCAGCACTAAATAGTTGATGTCTGAATGTACCTAAAAAATAATATTAGTACCTAATGGAATGGATACTAGTAGCTAAAAAAATAAGTACTAGTAGCATGAAAATAGAGTAAATTTCAAGGATTAAATGTAACACGGCTTGCCATACAGCAGAGTTCCATAGGTCAGCGCGCCTGCGTCTATAGCTCGACCACGTAAACAACCACGTGAGCTGTACGTGAGTCTATGGTGGAAATATACTATGGCACCCAGAGAACATTGAAGGTCACAAATCAAGCAGTATGAATACTTACACCATGATGTCAAACTTCAGATTTCAACCGATACCCTATTACGCAATTTTGTGTTTCATAATCCATTTAGTGAAGACAGAATGAATTTGACAGAACAAACATTAATCGAATCACGTTCAAGAGTCCACAGCTAACTTTTCACAATGTTTAAAATGCACAGGGATGGTCAATGTTTTTTTTTCTTCAATAATAGATCTCTGCAAAATGACTATTAGTGCAGATCTGCATTGCCCAACATGGCTACATTTTTGTGTGCTTGGTGCCAGGCTGCGGTTTGAGAAGTGTACATTGTGTTCCCTGCAAATGCCTGCGAACATGTGTAAGTGTAGTAGGCGTGTAACCTCTGAAGGGCCCTAAAGAAATCTCGAAAGCCATTTAAAAATGTGGAGCACCAATAGGATCCGACGTTGAGACTGACCTTCATGTCCCCTTAACCCTAAACCACATGTAACCTGCCCAAAAAATTTGTCGTTTTTGTAAAATATTATGTTACAGCTCGCTCAAGCACATTTTCATTGTAAGCAACATCGAAATGTGTGAAATATCATATAATATATATCAAATAACAGATCGCAAAATCCCAAAACGCACTGCAAATTACATGACTTCTAGGAAAAATGAAACTTTATGAGACAGATTAGATGGTGCTCACCATCTCTACTGAGGTGTGCGCGGTACAGGGACTGTCGCGCCAGAGGCCCACACCTCTGCCAGGCTGCTCTGCACGCAAACATCGTCCAAACTGCGAGTCCAACGGAGGCGCAATGAATGACTGAGAAAGTGCGGAGACAGTTGGAGGGGAGGAGTGAACATGAGAGGAGGAGAAAACGCTCGGCTAAATCCTCCCACTGCTGGGATTCCGTGGCACTGCCTTCAAAGCAACGAAGTATCATTTCTATTTACTCAAATAGTCTTTTAAACTGTATTATTTGTTTAATTTATGCAACTTACATTGCAAAAACATCTAAATTGAATTAAAGTTCCACACGATTATCCCAGTTTTCGCAGATTTATGGTACCAGCACTTACAGAACATTTCCCTAATCTTAGTGTATGGTTCCCGTTTATTTTCATCCCAATTCTTACGTTCCAATAATGTTCACAGGGGTGTTTGTGTGACAACCTAATAAGAACATATAGAACATTTTCTAATAGTTGTTTTCTAGGTTTCTTAACTGGACACCAATGTTACCAGAAATTTGCAGAATGGTTTTTGTGTAACAACCTGTCTACTGTTAGCATGAGTTAAATGTTTATTATACTATTCTGTTTAATAGTATGTTTAAATATACAGTATGCTTTTTTTTTTACAGTAAGCTGCAGTGATTAATAAGACAGGACATTCTCCAGAGCTCTCTGGCCAATTAATTAGTATACTATTATGAGATTTTGGCTCAGAAAATTTACCATTACACCTAACATATTCGCTTTTTTGTGTCCATGCATGTTCTCCACTGTATGAAGGTAATCTTTTTACTCAAATCATCAACTTGTTTCTTCTAAACACATTAACTCTGACTCTTATTGAATATTAAAAATTTAATCTTGGAACGTCACTGGTTTGTTGACACTGAATGTTGGCTTCAAAAGTCTGATCCCGTGGAAAGAATTGACAGTTGTATTAACTTAATTAGGATAGACAAAGTTCAAGAATGATTCTGTAATTGTTTTGCTTATAAACCACATCATAAGTCTAAATTGAAGGGAACAAAGCTTAACCGTATATTTAACAATATTTATATCTCTGCAACTCATGTTTGCTGGAGTCAAGAGAGAGTGACTAGAGGCAAGTTATATATACACATCTTTAATAAACATTATTGTACATCTTTCAAAAGCAGAGGAAACAGTGAAACAGGAAACACAGAAGATCCACAAAACACAGAGCAATCGTTGCCCTACAAAGGAAAAAACAGTTACTATTACATACTATTACAACAAAATTTACAAATGACACTGGGCCTCATTTATCAATCTATATCATAATCATAATCAATCGCATGCCACCAATCTCATCGTATGAATGATCGTATGTTGATAAATGTGGCGGCAGAAAACAATCGTCATTTGAATATCACGCCCCTATAAACACCCTGGTTTAGAAGCCTCGCCCCTGAGTTTACGACACAGAGAAACGAAACCCGGCCAAAAAGAGGAAGTAATCTCATAAAAGAGAAATTTATCTTACTCCAAAAACACCCGTTAACCATGTAATTGCAAACAATTAGGCTACATTCATTTATGTAATTTATATGTATATTCAAATACTGGCAAATATAAACAGCCTATTTAGTTCCCCTCACTCTACAACAAATATTTTAAATTTAACGGTATTCAGAACAGAACAAGAATGAAAAATAAGTAGTTATAAAATTATATATTAAACTATAAAATAAAACACAAATTAGGCTATAGTGGCATTCATTACAAACAGCATAAATGTCAAGCAAAACTGAAAAGGCATTGGGCTCACGCGCCTGTCTCAAATGTTTCCATTTCTGCCATATTTGTAACATTTGTTTGCATAACTATTATTCATTATGTAGCCTAAACATGGCTTTATACTTCACTCATGTTCTAATATCCGTGTAAAATCCTTCACATGTGCAAAATTTTTGTTTGGGCGCTGCATGCTGATTTTACAGCGGACCTTTTAAAATAAACAGTGTAACTTTTATGTTTGGTTGACTGCATTTTAGCTTGATGATGAATGGCTGAAATGTCAGGCAAACTAATGTTGTTTGTGTGTGCGTGAGGCGCCTGTGCGATCAGATGGATTAAATCAAATAAAGATGAATATCTTAAAATAAAGAAAATATTTTTATAAATAAATACATTTATTATCTTTAATAAATAAAGAAAATAAAATGCATTGAGTGTCACAAAAACGAGCGTAGCCTATACTTGTTGCACAGTGTTTTTTTCCCTTTTGTTAATCTGTTAATTATATTATAGCCTATTATATATTTTGTGTGATCCTATTTATTTTATTCCTTTTATAGACTTAATTTCTGTTTTTCTCCTTTCACAGAAGCGCTGCAGGTGCATGATGCGACGATTGAATCCTCATGGTCTTGTTTACGCTGCTATTCACGCATATAAAGCTAAAGCCCTGAATAAAAATAAATAAATCTCCACCGTATTTACTATGCTGCGCGCAAGTTCAGGTAACTCAAAAACTTGCGTACACGAGCTGAGACCAGACGTGAGATTTGATCGTAGCCACCGCTCACGTCCACATTGATAAATTCCAAGTTTTGCGTTGAAACGACAGTACACCCAATTTTCTGTCGTACGTTCGTTTCGTAAATGAGGCCCACTAACACTGACTAAAGAGATGACAATGGTTTTACTTACATGGCCTCATGAATTACTCTAACCAATTCCGTGTTTTGTACTCATGCACATCAGTGCTGTGCTGTTTAAACAGCTGGTGGGGAACAGAGAGTGCGTTTATAAAAATAAAAAAAGAAAGTCTGTGCATATGTTTGAGAGATCATTCAAAGTGAGTTACCAATGCCCACAAGACAGCAGTGCTTCCAAATGCCAGTCCTACTCTCAGCATGTTTGGCTTGGAGGGATCCGGTTTGGAAGCTATAAAGAAATTTCTGCTAACCACTGAAAAGAGAGAGAAAAAGCAATCCTCAAAAAAAAACGTATATATTTAACACAATGTTTGATTTATTGGACAGTTTTGGTAACTTGATAGTTTGTATATGAATTGATTTATTAACCCACTGGTGGCAGTTTTCCAAAAATTTAAAATGTTATTATGTACAATATTCCCATTTTGTTAGATGTAATACGTATGAATGTAACAATTATTAAGATAATAAAAAATAAACATTTTCAGTGTCCTTGGTTGTGAATCACAAAAACCTGAAAATGGCAATTAAAACATAATATATATAGATTACAAATGTATTCTAAAACTTTAAATAAATGCCTGTAACATATAAATAACTTATACGTGCGATGAAACTATAATGCATTGGCTGCTGTGTTGCTAGTCTTGCTATGCTAAGCAAGGTCAGGCCATACTGCTTTGCTAACTTACATGAGGCGAATAAACAAATATACCGAGGAAATGTACTGAGACTATAATGTACGCCAAATATCATTTGCATTGTCGTACTCACTCTTATTGACAGCTGAAGTCCGCAACAATAACCGACCGAGAGGCATTTTGACAGCGTTTCTCTCCCAGACAAAATGCGATCCTTGCTCGATTACTTTCCCTGACTCCTGGAATGGCTGACCTAGTGGCAAGTAGAGTAATCGATCACGAACGAATGAAACACACTCGAGTGAACATACAACCATTCATTCAAAAAACTCTATATTCATGAAAAATATTAAAGGTTTTCTTTTTTTATTGACAATGTTCTCTAAATAGATGCTGTAGTCTTTGGTCTCCTGGAAAAATATAAATTAAATAAAAACTCCCAAAACAATAATAAATGTGTATGAGAAAATACATTTATTATCTTGGAATGGAATGATACATAAATATATTAAAATTATCCTGAATCTATCAAATCTAAAAATCCTTCTAAATTTTCCACTCAAAAAATACTTGTGTATACACAATTTTTTTTTAAACTATTTTTCTGTTGAACAAAAATACAGGAATAATCAATATCTAAATGATATCTCTCTAACACACTTTTAGCTGAATATATACCATGTAAAGCCACATAACCTCTTTTACTTTATTACTTAAACAGTATTTTCCACAAATACTCCACGTTTTACTCCAGTTTATACACATTTGTCCACAATAGGCTTTTATGAGTAGCTGTTTCATCAGTTATAATAAACATATGTTCATTAGTACACTTGCTCCCACAAGCCCTTACAAATGTATAATTTGCTGAGATATGGCGTCAAACACAACAGCATACGACCAAGATAATATTGCCATCTAGTGACTACAATGCATTCGGCATAACAGGCATCATTTCAATATATATATATATATATATATGCTTGGTCGTACATTTATTGTAATCGCCAGGGCAACACTGTCATTTAATTTCAAATGATGTATATTTATCGTATAATTACATATTTTAATGTATAATATATATACTTATATTTATATTTAAAAAAGTTAATTTCATCCCCGCCTCGGAAATAGTGCACACTCAGCGCATGCGCAGTTCACCGCTTGACCCGGGGAGAAGCAGCGTCGCCATTTTGGTTCTGAAGGGGGGCCTGTTGTCACCACGTGAAGGCGAGAAGCCCCAGACAGCGAAGTTCGGGGGGCTATTACGATACGGCAGACAATCCGGCCAGAGGATCGCGGATTCCGATTCATGTTCAGAGCAAAGTCACGGTGATCAGTACCCAAGAAGAATCAGAAGCATGCCCTCGATAACTCTGCCGCCGAAGGAGAACGCTCTCTTTAAGAGAATATTGGTAAGTTGGGGAAAATATATCTGCAAACGAACGCTGGATTGTTAATAATAGAACGCAAGCGTGTGTCAGTCGCCTTCCTATTTTAGCCAGGATCTCTCTCCGCTGACCTCAAGAGAAACCTACTAAGAGTCTCTGCAAGCTAACAGAGAGCATTGGCTTTTTAACTTTAAACCGCATAAACACATTTCATTACACCAAATACACAAAATAATGTTCTTTTTAGCAGCATCATATGACCCCTTTAATACACGTAACATGACTATTAGCTCATGCACGTTCACGCACTTTGAGAGCAGATGAATTTGCCCGACACAGAACGGCTAAGCGCAAAGATCAGTGATTTGGTAGCTGTGTGGACGGAATAAACATTAAACAGTGCTAAACAACGTGTCGTTTGAGGGTTTTGTGCACAAGTCATGCCAAACACTGGGTTGAATCGATTAGTCACCGTACAAGTGAACAGAATGAAAGTTAATCCATTTAAAGCAACACTAACCTCAAAATAATAGAGTATGAAACATACGAAGGCATTGATGCAATAATTACGTTAGTGTGTCGTTTACAGATTTGTTATGCAAGCTTTATTGGAAAAACGTGATTTTAAATACACCATTATTGTGCATTATTGGACAATTTAACTAGTACCTGAACGCTAGTACGCTACCCCTCAAATCTGCTGTCAGATCCTAACTGGAGAAATCATGCATTAACATTAACCAGTAAATTATATAAAAATGTGAAAATAGAAGCTTTAGTCCATGAATCAGGATTCTTAGTCATGTCAAGGGAGGGACATGTTTTTGAATGGACAAAAGTGGGTGTAATGCAAGATGAGTGAATTAATATTGATATTAGTTAGTCGATATACTGGATATATTGTTTTTAACAATTATTCTGTTACTGTTACTGAGATTTAATAATAGCTGAACCTTAAACTTGTCAACATATAGTAGCACACTAGCATGTAGTGTGTGTTATATGCTGACACAGTAGCATGTAGCAAATCTGCTTTGACTAAAAGCTGCAAAACTTTGTGATTTCACAGGGGTTTTAATAAGATTATGCCACAAAATACAGGTTTAATTGATTAAGTATCAAGTTTACTTTTAAGGTTCACACAGAAACCAAAAGAGAATGTGCTGTGGGAGACTGACTTGCTTGACAGGTTGGCTGTGTCTCAAAACCTGGTTAGCTGTCTGCCTAGACAACATTTATGATCATGTTTCTGGGCAGTTCAGCTTTCTAGGACACAGCTGGTAAAATGACTACTCTGATAGAGAACAATTAAAAATAGTTTTAAGCATCCAAATGATGAACTTTTGTTGTTATGAAACTCTTTGTGCTTTAAAGTCACCATGAAATCAAAATTGAAAAAGCTTGTTTTTTTAATGGAATATTGTAGTGTTTATTATAAATAATTTATCCGTGCACTTCATTATTTTATTTTTTTAATTCATGTGCCCTCGTAATTTTTTATCAAAAACGTTAACCTCCCCTCCCCCTCAAAACGACTAATCTTCTCTTTTGGTCACGAGCTATGGCGCAAGGGCGGAGCTAGTGACGTGAGGGGTAAACGATGGGGGAAAGCTGAAGCTGATGCTTCACTTTATAGCACTGACACCAGTCATGAGTACGTTAACCCTAAACATTGAAAAGATATTAGGATATTAGGACAACATTACTCTTAGGACATCGCAAACTAATTTTTTTTTCATGAATATGACTTAACCTGATGGAGGACGCGCTCATCAGGCAGTCTCTCTCTCTCTCTCTCTCTCTCTCTCGCTCGCACGCGTGCGCTGTTTATGTCATGTTTTGTGCCGTTGATCGACGTCGTCATCCTTAATAAATAAAACATTTATTCATGCTTGGGTGTCGGCTGTGAATCCAGTGGAGAGAAATCCCCCACCGCTAACTGCAAACTGGCATTCAGATCTGCTCCATTTTGCTTCCAACGATCCAATCAATTCCCGAAGGACGAAATCAAGTCCCGCCCTCTCATTTCAGATGCCGTTTCACTCGGATATACATCACATTAGAGAAGAAAAGACCATCGCAACTTCGGTTTCATGCCGACTTTAAGAAGTTGTAGTAGTTTTTAGGTTGTAGTGACTCAACAGTCATTGCCCAGTCATTGCTCTTAATTAGTAATGTGTATTAATGACCAGTCATGAAACATCCCCAAATGGTTGTTTTTACTGATTGTTAGACAGTCCTGATTTCTGTTATTCCAGAATACAGAGTTAGACATTCAAAGTCATCTGACGATGGTTTATTTGTGTTTTCTAACATCTGTTTCTGTTCTGTCACAGAGAGGTAGGTCTGTCGCAATAATCAATATATCGACTTATCGCGCAATATATGTAAACGACCTCAATAATTTTGGGGGACGCAATATATCGCCCATTATATTTACTTAAAAATTTATGTCACTATGTTTTGTACATTACACTTGCGCCTGTGTCTTTTGCAGCTTCTCGTACATAACGTGGTGTAGTCATGAGGAGCTAGTTCAAATTTTATAAAATGCTTCTACAAAAAAATGTTTCATCTGCAGATATGATCTTGTTTAGAGATCTGTGCCTTTGTGCATACGGACATCTGACTGCTAAGTAGTGATTGTGTTTCTCAGCAATAGTGTGCACCCTTAATTTACAGAGAAAAGAAGGTCAGGGAAAAA